GTATAAATGACTTCACCATCTCTTTATTGCTCTCCTCATTAGGGAGGACGCCCACACCCTTTTTCTCCGGCTGCATCTCTGCCTTGCTTCTGTCTTAACTAAACAAACTGTTTCTCTGTGTGCTCTCCCACTTGTGCTGTGTCTCTAATAATAAACTTTGTACCTGTTTTTACAGTTTTTGCCTCCTTGAGAAATGCATTTTTCACTGGAGGTGAGAGCCAGGGGGTGTGGTGGCTAGGATTCCTGGTTTTCATCCAGGCTACCCAGGTTCAGTTCCTGGGCAGGGAATTAAGATCTCGCTTCATGCCACCACTTACTGCTGCCTCTCTGAGATCATTACATTGAGTCATTTTGGCTATTAGATACAACGCTGTTTGGGTAACCACCAGCCTGGACTAACCCTTTGACCCCAGTGTCTCATTTATCCACATGCAGTCAAACACTCTGGTACATAGTTCATAAGGATAGCCTTCAACTATGAGTTCCTCTCATCCCTGTACGTGCATTTTCCTCCTCCAATCAAGAGGTGAAGTCTACTTGTCTACCACTGAATCTGGGATGGCCTTGTGGCTTGCTTTGACCGAAAGGGCATGGAAGAAGTAACACTGTGCTAGTCTGGGCTTGAGCCGTCAGAGACCTAAAAGCGTTTGCTTTTGCTCTTTTATTTTTATTTATTTATTTTTTTGGTCGCACAGCTTGCGGGATCTTAGTTCCCCGACCAGGGATTGAACCCAGGTCCACAACAGTGTAAGCGCCGAGTCCTAACCACTGGACCACGAGGGAATTCCCATGTTTTTGCCCTTTAAAAGCACAGCTGTCATTGAAAGAAGTCCAGTCTCTCCTACTCAAGAGAGGCCATGAAGACAGGCTCTGGAGGAGACACCGTCCTCTGACTGAGCAGCACCGGGCTCCTCGGTTTCCTGGTTCTTACGGATTTAGCCCCAGCAAGTACCACACTGGTGCTCTGTGTAGAGCAGAGAGAAGAATCTTAGATTTGAAATCAGAAGAAATTCCTGAAGCCAAAAGAGCAAACACACTAAGCCACATTCATGCATGTTACTTGTATTTGTACAGTAGCTTTCAAACCAGCTTCTTGGACCTCTGGCCCTCATCCCGTCTTGTGCTTGGCTCTTTTGTAAGCTTGTATCGGGCTTACAAGTGAGCTAGTAAGAAAGAATTTCATAGATTTCTTTTTCTTAATTGAATGAGGGGAATTATACTACGTATTCTATTGTTTAACCAAAGATCTCATTCCATAGTGACCTCTACTGGGAAGAGTAAATGTATCACCAGGGCTGACAAAAAAACGTAGCCAATTCAGTCTGTTTGGTCAAAGAATTGGTTAATTTGGAAAGGCAGTGCTGGTCAAATCTGTTATTTAGAATTAAGGCCCAATTGTACTCTGAATATTTTTATTTTTAAAAAGATTTTGTGAAATATTTCAAACTTATGAAATATAGAAAATAATATAATAAATACCTGCCACTCAATCTTGTCAAATCTTAACATTTGACCATACTTACCTGTTAAAAAGAAAATCACAGGCCCCAAATGATGCCACTTGTGCTAAAGCCCATGATGCCAAATCTAGGCTTAATACCTGACTTGCAGTTTTGACCTTCCCCAGAAATGTAATCTTAATCAACCAGTCTACAATTTTCTGGCCAGCCCCAATGACTAATTTGTCATGTGGGCCCTCTCTAATCTCCCTGAGGAAGAAGAGACATATCTGCATGATAAAACCCTTGCTTTTCTCTTCCCTCCCAAAAAGAAGGCATTAACCTTCTCTTAAACAAGGTAATATATCATCCTTTTCCACTTGAAATAATCTTGCCGTGAGGGAGAATAACTGAATGTGCTGTGATAATCTCAGTCATTAAATGGGAGGACCCACAGCACTGCCTCCGTACAGCTGGCTGTGCACTTATTCGTAAAAGTTGATATGCATGGAAGCTTTGGGCGTTAATTCTTTAACAGAAGAAAGGGGAGGGGGACCTCCTGTGGATCCAGGAACCACTACAAAGAAAATGAACTCTGGCTGGTGTCTGCTCCCCTGGGGAGGCCTTCTAGGGAGAGGAGGGAATAGTATAGAGTCAGAGTGCCTGCTTTGAGGTCCTGGGTCCCTAATTTACTAACTAGCTAACTCACTTACCAGTCTTGGGTGAGTTAACACTCCTCTCTGTGCTGCAGGTTCATCCTCTATAGAATCATAATAGTATCTACCTAATAGAATAGCTGTGAAGATTAAATGAGATCATTCATATAATGAACGTAGAAAAGTTCTTGACATCCATTAAACATGCAATAAATTTTAGGTGTGGTTGATGTGATCGTGATCGTTATCATCGTTAGTTTCCGGCTAAAGGGACTTGGTCTGACCTCCTATAGAGAAAGAGGGCAAAGACAGAAATGGAGGTGTCTGGTTTTTGTGAATCAACACAGCAAATCTTAAACCATTTAAAAAAAAATAAATTTATTAATTTATTTTTGGCTGTGTTAGGTCTTCGTTGCTGCTCACGGGCTTTCTCTAGTTGTGGCGAGCAGGGGCTACTCTTCGTTGCGGGGCGCGGGCTTCTCACGTTGCAGAGCACAGGCTCTAGGCGTGTGGGCTTCAGTAGTTGTGGCACGCAGGCTCAGTATTTGTGGCGCACGGGCTTAGTTGCTCCGCGGCATGTGGGATCTTCCCGGACCAGGGCTCGAACCCATATCCCCTGCGTTGGCAGGTGGATTCTTAACCACTGCACCACCAGGGAAGTCCCAACACAGCAAATCTTAAAGTACTATTTAGTACTTAATAGCTGAAGTTTTCAAATTCTATAAAGAATTTTACTGGTAAGAATGTAGGCCCCAACAATTTGAAGTAAGGCTCATGATGGCTCAAGAAATTCAGCCTATTCCAGCGGAAAGTGGCCCAGGTCCCTACAGGTCCTTAGAACAGTCAGCAAGGGACTTCTACACCTCTAGGGTAGGCTAGGGTCTGCAGCCCCTGTCCAGCGGAAAGAAGCTTCAGGAGAAGAGACCTTCAGCCCCTTACCCCTTAAGAATAAGGGTGTAGAGTCTCTCCGGGGGGAATGAGACAGGCTGGGACCTGGGACCCTCTGCTGAGTGCACCTCTCCTTGAACAACAAAATACAAAGAAATTATAAGGGACTAAAAATAACTGCGTGCATGGCCAGTTGGGGCAAATTCTGGACAGAAGATACAAAAAGGTCAAAAAACCCAACTGCCACTTTTGAAGAGCCCAGAGCAAAAGCAGGGTACTGAGCACAGCCCCTGAACTCAACACCACCAGAGGGTGGACAAAACACCTAAGCCACCCCTGTGGCCCGACCCCTGGACACACCTCTACCCTCACCCCATCTAAGGAACAAGCTTGACACCCACCTCAGGGAACGCACAAGCAAGGGAACCTGTTGTCTGTTATCTCTCCCCCCTGCTGCTGCAGGGGCCCCAGTAAAGCCTTGCCTGAAAAGAAAAAATGTTTCCTGTTATTCTGAGTATCAATTTTTCTCTAGGCACATCTTAAAAAGTGTAACATACATTCATTAAATAAATATTGATTGAATGTCTACCATGTGACAGGCACTTTTCTAGGCATTAGGAATACAGTAGTAGAAAAGACATACAAAATGCCTTCCGTTATGAATCTTACTTTATTTTTAACCACTGTGGATTCTTAACCACTGTGCCACCAGGGAAGTCCCCCAACCTAGGTATTCTTAACGGCTATAATATGGTGCTTTAAGGACTCAACGTTTCAACTCCGGCTTTAAGTTAATAATAAATGTGTACAATTAAAACATAAAGGCTTTGATAATGTTGGATGTGTTATAAACAGAAAGTTTTTTTTTTTTTTTTTGCGGTACACGGGCCTCTCACTGTTGTGGCCTCTCCCGTTGCGGAACACAGGCTCCGGACGTGCAGGCTCAGCGGCCATGGCTCACGGGCCCAGCCGCTCCACGGCATGTGGGATCTTCCCCAACCGAGGCGCGAACCCGCATCCCCTGTCTCAGCAGACGGACTCTCAACCACTGTGCCACCAGGGAAGTGCACAGAAAGGTTTTTAAAAGAAACTTTTTATTCAGTTATAACCCATATACTGAAAAGTGCATATATCATGTTCAATGAATTTTCATAAAGGACCACACTGATGTAACTATCACCCACATAGAGAAATAGAACATAACCAGACCCCCTTCCCCCAACGCCCTCTTGTGCTCAAAGGTAAGTTTGAAAATTCAAAATAAGTATTCACTTATTGTTGTAAAGCTGAATGCTATAGTCTATTTCAGGCCCTGAATAAAATTCAGTCCCATAATAATATACTCTTCCTAGAGCGATAATTCGGAAAATTTGGTCCCCAGACAAGCAGCCTCAGTATCACTGACCTGCGAACTTATCACTTGCAAATTCAAGGATCCCAATCCAGATCTACAGAACAAAAACTCTGGGGGTGGAAGCCGGCAATTCGTGTTTTTAACAAGCCTAGGGGCTTATTCTGATGCCCCTTAAGGTTGGAGAAGCACGGATCTAAGTCTGTTGGAAGAGTTTTGGTTCGTGATCGCACAGTAACTGTTAAGTGAATACCAGGATCTAAAGCGTTACGCTCGAAAAATAGTGACAAGTTTTAATCACCTATCTCATTTTGAAGCACACTGAGGGTAAAATGTTTTCCCATTTTAACTAACCGTGTTGTTGTTCTAGTCAGTGTTGCATTTTAGCACGAGAATAAAGCAGTCCCCCGCTCCCCGACCTCCTATTCTCTTTCCGCACCCAGCCAGAACTTGTCTAGGTTACCAACAAAACTGCACCCCTGGGTGGCGGGGAATTCAACATCCAGAGGCGGGAGCAGATTTTGGCCAATCAGAAGCCAGGTTCGAGCCGCTCGCCCACCCCAGTGGTGTGTGATTGGTGGTTTCCCGCGGGCGGAAGAGACCCTCCGAGGCTCCGCCCCGCGCGGCGCGAGCCAATCGTCGCTCCGCGCAGGAAAAGACAGGAGCCGTGCGAGAGATGTAATATGGCGGAGAACACCGCCTCAGCGGCTCCGAGCCCGCGAGGGCTTGCGGATGGGGAGGATGCGGGTTCCCTGGAGGAGCGGATGGCGGAAACGGCGAGAGATGATCAGGAGCAGTTTGAGTGCCAGGAACTGCTCGAGTGCCAGATGCAGTTGGGGGCCCCTGAGGAGGAGGAGGACGCGGGCCTGGTGGCTGAGGCCGAGGCGGTAGCTGCCGGCTGGATGCTCGATTTCCTCTGCCTGTCTCTTTGCCGGGCCTTCCGTGACGGCCGCTCGGACGACTTCCACCGCACCCGCGACAGCGCCGAGGGTGAGTGCGGGGCGCGCCCGGGCCGGGGGCGGGGACCGCGGCGGGCTGCCGAGGCCAGGTTTGCGGCGCTGTCCCCCAGGGGGTCGGGGATCGGGCTGCTGCGGCGCCCGAGCGGAGGGCCCCCAGCTCAGAGTTGATCGTTGGTTCCAATCCCGCATCCGCCTCCTCTCAGCTCCTCAGTTTTGCTCAGATTCATTAGAGTTGAAAGAGGGGTAAGTGAGTTGAACAAAACTGCACCGAATCCAGTGTCCAGTTCCTTTTGTCGCCTGTGGCGCTTGTGTTTCTTGCTTTTTTCGGCAGAGATACTCCTGTAAAGGCATTTATTTAACAAGTCACGACCTAGGCATCAGTGTTTTCTGTTACTTCGGGAGCTATCTAAACCTGGTTTAGCCCGCTGGCTCCGTATAGGCTTCAGAATAAAAGTAACTGACAATGAAATCTACCGCCTACACAAGACAGCCTGTAAGCGATGGACAGAGACCTTGACGCCTAGAGAAGGCTAGCTGGCTTTTTGAATGATAACCGAAAGATGCTCTGGTATTTATGAGTTGGCCGTCAGCTTATTGCAGCCGAACGCAACCCCAAGATACTATTTAGTAGGAAATCAAATACCTCAGAAAACCGTATTGATACATTTCAGCTTCACGGTTATCCCGTGAGTTAGGCAAGTAATCTCAGTTTATAGAGGAGTGAACTAGTTAAAACAACCTAAAGCATTGATAGGTTAAAGGGTTATTCCAGACGCATGCCTTATCTTCAAATTCAAGAAGCTTTCCTCCGTGTCACAGATAACACTAGAGCCATGGTTAATTAACATTAATTAGGAAGTTAAATCCTGGAATGAAGCCAGTTCATTTAATAATTCGAATTATTATAAAGGCCTCTTTGGGGAGGAGGCTAAAATTATCTATGTGTTAATGAATTTGAATTGGAAACATCAGTATGAACTCCTGTTTATAACATATAGAAATATCAATGCATATTATACATATATAGACACAGGTTAGGATGTACTCATATATTTCCTTGTTCTGTCAGATGAAAGGGTGTAGAAGGATTGTAACCCTAGCAGCAAGGGGTACACTTAGCACTCAAGTCTTGGTTTCCAATACCATTCTCCAGAGAAATGGCCTGATTCTGGGACTGGGACAGGAAATATACAAGTTGAGCCTGGAGCATCTTGTAACAGAAAGTAATAAAGTGCTAAAAACAAAGCAAAACAAAACCCCCAAAGAAACAAAAAAAAATCCCACAATTATGGGCGTAGTACAAAGGGACACGGGAGCCAACCGCAAGGGCTCCCAATGGCCAAAGCTGAAATAACTCGAGGAAGAAAATACAGTTGACCCTTAAACAACACAGGTGTGAACTGCACCTGTCCACTTACAAGCCAATTTTTTTCTCAGTAGTAAATAAGACAATACTACGCAATCTGTGGTTGGTTAAACTGGGAATACAGAGAGCCGACACTGGGATTTTCAACTGCTCAGAGGGTCAGCACCCCTAACCCTGGCATTGTTCAAAGATCAACTGTAGTGTTGGAATATAACCCAACATACAAAATAAATATCCATAAAGTTCATACTGATGTAAATAAATGGTGGAATAAATATACAAATGGAAGAAGAGACAAATCTCCGACGCAGAAGAATTCCAGGTAATTCGTGTAGCTACTCTATCCTCAAGGAGGTGGAGTGTAACTCCCCACTCCTTAAGTGTGGGCTGCGAAGAGCACAGGATACAAAGGGGGAGAAAGTAGAGAAAGCTGACAGACACTGCCTCACCTAGGTAATCAAGGTCAGCATCAGCAGTGATAGCTAGTAGCATGTACGCTTGATACAGTGTGATGAAAATGGAACTTTACCTCTGTGACCCTCCTCCTCAAACTCCATAACTCTAGTCTAATCATGAGAAGAATATCAGACAAATCCCAATAGAGAGGTACATTGTACAAAATACCTCAAAATTGTCAAGGTCATCAAAACCAGGGAAAGTCTGAGAAACTGTTATGGCCAAGAGATGCCCAAAGAGACATGATGACTAAATGTCATGTGGTGCCCTGGTTGGGATCTTGCAGTAGAAAAAGGACATTAAGTAAACACTAAGGAAATCTGAATAAAGCGTGGACTGTATCAATATTGGTTAATTAATGTAACATGGAATACTAATTAGTGCAAGATGCTAATAACAGGGTAAACTGGGTGGAGGGTATATGGGACCTCTTTACTATCTTTCTTCACTATATTATGTATATTTAAAACCATTCTAAAAAATAAAGTTTATTTTAAAAAAAAAAGGACCTTGTAAGGTTCTAGCCCAAGACCCAAGGAATAATCTAGGTCATCTCCATTATTTGAAGGTTAAAGGCACAGAAACCCAGAAAGAGTAAACTTTTTCAGGTTGCACTGCTAAAACAGATATGCAAACTATGAACATAATATTGTCTCGGTATTCCATTTTTGACTAAAAGGACTTCCTTTTATCGCTTATAGAATTTCATTTACTATGCTTTTCAAGATTGTAAACATATACAACTCTGATGCTTCCTAGAAAATTCTTAGCTCTTTCATTCCAACTCAGAATTATTCTCCCACCTCACTTATCTCAGATAATGCCTGTTCCAGACTGATATTCCTATCCTATCTCCACCGTGGGAAGCAGTGTAGAATTGTAATTAAGAGCATGGGCTCCATAGTAAATTGTCTGAGTTTGATTCCAGGCTCTGCTGGTTTATAGCCATAAGACTTGAAGCAACGACTTGGTACCACCAGTTCCCATGGTACTACAATTTCCTCATCTGTAAAATGGTAGTAATGATGGCACCTACCTCAAAGGGCTGTTGAGAGAAGCAGATGAACTGATATGTATAAAGCAAGGTTTCCCAGCCTCAGCCTGTTGACATTTTGCACCACATGATTCTTTATTCTGTGTATGCTTGAGGGTGGAGGGGGAATGAGGTGGAGGTTCTCCCATGCATTGTAGGATCCTTGACCTCAGCCCCTAGGTGCCAGTAGCAGCCCTCCCACTCGTGACAATCAAAAATGGCTCTAGGGGCTTCCCTGGTGGCGCAGTGGTTGAGAGTCCGCCTGCCCATGCAGGGGACACAGGTTCGTGCCCCGGTCTGAGAGGATCCCACATGCCGCGGAGCAGCTGGGCCCGTGAGCCATGGCCGCTGAGCCTGCGCGTCCGGAGCCTGTGCTCCGCAACGGGAGAGGCCACAGCAGTGAGAGGCCCGCGTAGCGCAAAAAAAAAAAAAAAAAAAATGTCTTCAGACATTGCCAAATGTCTCCTAGGGGACAAAATCACCCCTAGTTGAGAACCACTGCTAAGTGCTTAGAGTAGTGCCTGGTATTATAGTTAAGTGCTTAAATATAGTTGTTACTGTTGCTGGTCATTGGATCCTCCCTAATGTAGTGTTTGGTTACAGGTGTGGAAAAAGCAGATAGCCAGGTTCAACCAGGGTAGGTTTTCATTGTTTTTGTTTTGTTTTATGCCTAACAGGTACAAAGAGCAGAAGGACAGTACTGTGTAGGGTATCTGTAGTTATTGCATACATAGACTAAATATGGAGGGAAGTGAAGACAGAAAGGATCTGACTTTCTTCCCTAGAATAGATTAGGTCTTTCTTCTGTTTTGCTCCTATACCATACTTACCCTTTATGACATATTAAAATTTTAATTAGTCTCTTGCATAATTTTTTGTTTAATTCGTGCCTTCTCAGACTAAAACCTTCTGAGGAGCAGGGACTGGCTATCTTATTATTCAGACATCAGTCCCTACCACTGGCCGGCAGTAGATGTTCAGTCCATGTTGAATAAGTTGTGTTTAAATTTTATATAAATGTTGTGTTCTTTTTGAATCCTATTTAATTATATTATGAGTATATTTGGTCCAGATAATCTCTGGTGTAGCATAAGGTTATGGCATATTAAAGTTGAGGAAATAAATACAAATAAATGTATTTATTTGTTTCATCTGCTTAGCAGCTGCAGGACTGTTTTTTGGTTTGCTGGTTAATTTAATCTTTGTCTTTTATTGCTACATGGTAAATTCAGTGAAAACCAGGATTATGGTTTACTCAGTGTTGTATATACTTACTACCTAGCATAACATCTGGGTGGGTGTTCAAATATTGGGGAGATTAACATTAATAAATGTTTTTAAAATAAAGCTTCGTAAACTGAACAGACTCTCGCTTAACTGAAACCTTGACAGAAATAATATATTTCCTATAATATTAGGCATTTTAAGGTACAAAGTAAGTTTCCAGGTAATGATTTGACACATTTTACAGTTTGGATCTAAATCTCCCTTTTCATTTAGTTTAGACTGCTACCTGTGAAAGTACATAGTTTTCAAGATTTATTATTCTACCTGTGAAACATCAGTTTTATTTTGAAGGAAAAGTCTTCATTGTTATTCTTTTTTGTTCTGATTTCCTAAAAATTGTCTATAAATAAAGCATACACTCTAAATTTATGATAATCTTTGGGTGATATTTGTAACTTATTTCTCCGCAAACCACGCAGAGGCACTGCTGGGTCAAGTTTGGAGTTTTGTTTTGATGTTTGAATAAGATTCACTTTCTTCACTTTCTTCACTTTCAGCTATTATTCATGGATTGTCCAGTCTAACAGCTTATCAACTGAGAACTATATACATATGTCAATTTTTGACAAGAATTGCAGCTGGAAAAACGCTTGGTAAATATATTTTTATCTTATGTTGCACATATTTCAATCTATGTCTAAAGGGGAGACAATGAGAAGAAACAGATGGGAGTAGTCCTTTGTTTTTGAGAGTTTGCTCACGTGTATTTGGCATGTACATCTATACACAGACATATTTAAAGCTAGTAAAAGAAATATAGGGCTTCCCTGGTGGCGCAGTGGTCGAGAATCTGCCTGCTAATGCAGGGGACACTGGTTCGAGCCCTGGTCTGGGAAGATCCCACATGCTGCGGAGCAACTAGGCCCGTGAGCCACAACTACTGAGCCTGCGCGTCTGGGGCCTGTGCTCCGCAACAAGAGAGGCCGCGATAGTGAGAGGCCCGCGCACCGCAATGAAGAGTGGCTCCCGCTTGCCACAACTAGAGAAAGCCCTCGCACAGAAACGAAGACCCAACACAGACAAAATAAAATAAATTAAAAAAAAAAAAACCCTGAGCAGTACTTAGAGTAAAACTCCTTAATGTGCTCTTACTGACTGCCTGTCACCAAACATTTCTTAAAAAAAAAAGAAATATAATCCCTATCTTCTTAGAGCGATGGTTCTCAAATTTTAGCTTGCTTCCGAATTATTAGAGAACTTCTTAAGGAACAGAATGGTGAGTCCCCTTCTCCATCATGAGTTTCTGATTCAGTAGGGTGAGTGAGGGGCCCTGGAGTTTACATTTCAAGTTCCCAGGTGATTCTGATGTTCCTGTTGGGGGACCATGCTCTGTGTATTTTTTTTTTTTTTTTTTTGCGGTATGCGGGCCTCTCACTGTCGTGGCCTCTCCCGTTGCGGAGCACAGGCTCCGAACACGCAGGCTGAGCAGCCATGGCTCACGGGCCCAGCTTCTCCGCGGCATGTGGGATCCTCCCGGACCGGGGCACGAACCCTCGTCCCCTGCATCGGCAGGCGGACTCTCAACCACTGCGCCACCAGGGAAGCCCATGTGTACTCTGTCTTAAAGACGTCACTAAATGGGGCTATGGTAACTTTGTGGTGACTCCTATTACTATCATGCATACTCTGTTTCTAACTGGCAACAATGGTATTTGAAACCTCTTATTTGAGCTTGATTTTAGCACTTACTTAATAAGGGAATATGATTTTAGAACTATAATTCTCTCTCTCCCTTGTCCTCATAGTTTATTTATTTTTATTTTTTTAAAGCATGGATCATTTTTTTTTTTTTAATTTTATTTATTTATTTATTTATGGCTGTGTTGGGTCTTTATTTCTGTGCGAGGGCTTTCTCTAGTTGCGGCAAGTGGGGGCCGTTCTTCATCGCGGTGCGCGGGCCTCTCACTATCGCAGCCTCTCTTGTTGCGGAGCACAAGCTCCAGATGCGCAGGCTCAGTAATTGTGGCTCACGGGCGTAGTGGCTCTGCGGCATGTGGGATCTTCCCAGACGAGGGCTCGAACCCGTGTCCCCTGCATTGGCAGGCAGATTCTCAACCACTGCGCCACCAGGGAAGCCCCTCATAGTTTATTTTAGATTGTAATGGCCAGGCCGGGTTCAGTTTATCAGTAATGGCTAATATTTATAGCATGGTTATTTAAAGGACTTTTTTTTTTTTTTACATCTTTATTGGAGTATAATTGCTTTACAGTGATGTGTTAGTTTCTGCTTTATAACAAAGTGAATCAGTTATACATATACATACATTCCCATATCTCTTCCCTCTTGCATCTCCCTCCCTCCCACCCTCCCTATCCCACCCCTCTATGTGGTCACAAAGCACCGAGCTGATCTCCCTGTGCTATGTGGCTGCTTCCCACTAGCTAGCTATTTTACGTTTGGTAGTGTATATATGTCCATGCCACTCTCTCGCTTTGTCACAGCTTACCCTTCCTCCTCCCCATATCCTCAAGTCCATTCTCCAGTAGGTCTGTGTCTTTATTCCTGTCTCACCCCTAGGTTCTTCATGACATTTTTTTTTCTTAAAGTCCATATATATGTGTTAGCATACGGTATTTGTCTTTCTCTTTCTGACTTACTTCACTCTGTATGACAGACTCTAGGTCCATCCACCTCATTACAAATAGCTCAATTTCGTTTCTTTTTATGGCTGAGTAATATTTCATTGTATATATGTGCCACATCTTCTTTATCCATTCATCCGATGATGGACACTTAGGTTGTTTCCATCTCCTGGCTATTGTAAATAGAGCTGCCATGAACATTTTGGTACATGACTCTTTTTGAATTACGGTTTTCTCAGGGTATATGCCCAGTCATGGGATTGCTGGGTCATATGGTAGTTCTATTTGTAGTTTTTTAAGGAACCTCCATACTGTTCTCCATAGTGGCTGAACCAATTCACATTCCCACCAGCAGTGCAAGAGTGTTCCCTTTTCTCCACACCCTCTCCAGCATTTATTGTTTCTAGATTTTTTGATGATGGCCATTCTGACTGGTGTGAGATGATATCTCATTGTAGTTTTGATTTGCATTTCTCTAATGATTAATGATGTTGAGCATTCTTTCATGTGTTTGTTGGCAGTCTGTATATCTTCTTTGGAGAAATGTCTATTTAGGTCTTCTGCCCATTTTTGGATTGGGTTGTTTATTTTTTTGTTATTGAGCTGCATGAGCTGCCTGTAAATTTTAGAGATTAATCCTTTGTCAGTTGATTCATTTGCAAATATTTTCTCCCATTCTGAGGGCTGTCTTTTGGTCTTGTTTATGGTTTCCTTTGCTGTGCAAAAGCTTTGAAGTTTCATTAGGTCCCATTTGTTTATTTTTGTTTTTATCTCCATTACTCTAGGAGATGGGTCAAGAAGGATCTTGCTGTGATTTATGTCATAGAGTGTTCTGCCTATGTTTTCCTCTAAGAGTTTGATAGTTTCTGGCCTTACATTTAGGTCTTTAATCCATTTTGAGCTTATTTTTGTGTATGGTGTTAGGGAGTGATCTAATCTCATACTTTTACATGTACCTGTCCAGTTTTCCCAGCACCACTTATTGAAGAGGCTGTCCTTTCTCCACTGTACATTCCTGCCACCTTTATCAAAGATAAGGTGACCATATGTGCATGGGTTTATCTCTGGGCTTTCTATCCTATTCCATTGATCTATCTTTCTGTTTTTGGCCAGTACCATACTGTCTTGATTACTGTAGCTTTGTAGTATAGTCTGAAGTCAGGGAGCCTGATTCCTCCAGCTCCATTTTTTGTTCTCAAGATTGCTTTGGCTATTCAAGGTCTTTTGTATTTCCATACAAAATTGTGAAATTTTTTGTTCTAGTTCTGTGAAAATTGCCAGTGGTAGTTTGATAGGGATTGCATTGAATCTGTGGGTTGCTTTGGGTAGTAGAGTCATTTTCACAATGTTGATTCTTCCAATCCAAGAACATGGTATATCTCTCCATCTGTTTGTATCATCTTTAATTTCTTTCATCAGTGTCTTATAATTTTCTGCATACAGGTCTTTTGTCTCCTTAGGTAGGTTTATTCCTAGATATTTTATTCTTTTTGTTGCAATGGTAAATGGGAGTGTTTTCTTGATTTCACTTTCAGATTTTTCATCATTAGTATATAGGAATGCCAGAGATTTCTGTGCATTAATTTTGTATCCTGCTACTTTACCAAATTCATTGATTAGCTCTAGTAGTTTTCTGGTAGCATCTTTAGGATTCTCTATGTATAGTATCATGTCATCTGCAAACAGTGACAGCTTTACTTCTTCTTTTCCGATTTGGATTCCTTTTATTTCCTTTTCTTCTCTGATTGCTGTGGCTAAAACTTCCAAAACTATGTTGAATAAGAGTGGTGAGAGTGGGCAACCTTGTCTTGTTCCTGACCTTAGTGGAAATGCTTTCAGTTTTTCGCCATTGAGGATGATGTTGGCTGTGGGCTTGTCATATACGGCCCTTTATTATGTTGAGGAAAGTTCCCTCTATGCCTGCTTTCTGCAGGGTTTTTATCATAAATGGTGTTGAACTTTGTCGAAAGCTTTCTCTGCATCTGCTGAGATGATCATATGGTTTTTCTCCTTCAGTTTTTTAATATGGTGTATCATGTTGATTGATTTGCGTATATTGAAGAATCCTTGCATTCCTGGAATAAACCCCACTTGATCATGGTGTATGATCCTTTTAATGTGCTGTTGGATTCTGTTTGCTAGTATTTTGTTGAGGATTTTTGCATCTATGTTCATCAGTGATATTGGCCTGTAGTTTTCTTTCTTTGTGACATTCTTGTCTGGTTTTGGTATCAGGGCGATGGTGGCCTCGTAGAATGAGTTGGGGAGTGTTCTTCCCTCTGCTATATTTTGGAAGAGTTTGAGAAGGATAGGTGTTAGCTCTTCTCTAAATGTTTGATAGAATTCGCCTGTGAAGCCATCTGGTCCTGGGCTTTCGTTTGTTGGAAGATTTTTAATCACAGTTTCAATTTCAGTGCTTGTGATTGGTCTGTTCATATTTTCTATTTCTTCCTGATTCAGTCTTGGCAGGTTGTGCATTTCTAAGAATTTGTCCATTTCTTCCAGGTTGTAAAGGACCATTTGATGCAAATAATTCCATATTTATATTGGGTTTTACAATTTACAAAATGCTTTCCAGGCAGTCTCCAGTGGTGGGCAGTAATAGCACGGAACTGTTCACTTATAAACAGACTAGGTGGCAGGAAATCCCACCCTATTAGGACCGCTGGGGGAGCCCACACTCATCCAGCTCTGGCTCATGTGGCGTGCTGTGTTGTGGAGGTGAGTTGGAGCTGGACAGTCAGTGGATTAGGGCTAGAGGCAAAGCAGACGTGCGGAAGACGGTAGGTAGGTAGGCTGGCTGGGCTGGTGGCGGAGGAAGAAAACGGGCTGATGTAGACCATAAGCTAACATGGTTCACAGAGCTGTCTGGTAAATTAAATGTGACAGAATGTTCTAGAAGTGCCTGGCTGGGCTTCACATACAGCAGTTGTTCATTATATTGTTATTTTCCTTTCCAACAACTTTTTCTCTCAAAACAAGGGTACAAAAAAAATCCCTGTTTTGTGTGTGACCCCATGGTTTAATCTTGAAATTCACCAGGGTGCAGCTTAGATATAATAGGCTGGGGTCAGTGATCAAGAATCACTATATTTCAAGAGAGCCAGCATTTAAAACGTAATTTTAGTTTATGTATTGGATTTTCAACTACACGTGACCCTGAATTTCAAATGGAGATGTTTGTGTGTAATTTGCTAAGTCGTTACCAGCCACTGTGAGTCTTTGATAAGAATAAGCTGATAAATTCTGTTTTAAGAAAGTTTAACAGTAGTACAAATATTATCTCATTAAATATTCACATAGTATTTATTTACAGCATTTTTCTGTTTTTTTATTTGTTTGTTTTTTTGCGGTATGCGGGCCTCTCACTGTTGTGGCCTCTCCCGTTGCGGAGCATAGGCTCTGGACGCGCAGGCTCAGCGGCCATGGCTCACGGGCCCAGCCGCTCCGCGGCACATGGGATCTTCCCAGACCGGGGCACGAACCCGTGTCCCCTGCATCGGCAGGCGGACTCTCAACCACTGCGCCACCAGGGAAGCCCATACTTACAGCATTTTATAGGTGAGAAAACTTAGGCTTAAAAGGCAAAATAACTTTTTCGGCACCACACAGGTAGTACATGATAGAGTCTGGAATAAACTCCAAAGTTTTAAAGACCACTCTACAATATCGCAGCCGATTGTATATGGTGATGAGAAAGAGGAAGGAGTAAAACGGTGACTCCTTGGGTTGTTTTTTTTTTTAATAAATTTATTTATTTATTTTGGCTGTGTTGGGTCTTCGTTGCTGTGTGCGGGCTTTCTCTAGTTGCAGCGAGCGGGGGCTTCTCATTGCGGGGCTCAGGCTCTAGGCGCGTGGGCTTCAGTAGTTGTGGCACGCAGGCTCAGTAGTTGTGGCGCGCGGGCTCAGTACTTGTGGCTTGCAGGCTCTAGAGCACAGGCTCGGTAGTTGTGGTGCACAGGCTTAGTTGCTCCACAGCATGTGGGATCTTCCCAGACCAGGGCTCGAACCCATGTCCCCTGCGTTGGCAGGCGGATTTTAACCACTGCACCACCAGGGAAGTCACTCTTTAGGTTTTTAAGCCTTGGTGATTGGAATAATGTTGGTAGAGAGAGAAGTTCTTGATTGATCCTGTTTCAAATATCTACAAAATATATAACAAGGATTTAAAGTAATATATGCGAAAATCAAATTTCACAATAAACTAATTTCATGCTGTATCTCAATGAAGTTTGTTATACTGCAGTTAGACTTACAAACCATTTAAGAATTCTGTTACTCTGACACCTTATATAAAATATAGTTTATTTCAGCTCTTAAAATCAGTATTTTAGTAGAGAAAATCTTCAGATGTTTTGTGGACTCATGTACAGCCTTTTCTGTTTTTTATTTTTTATTTTTTTTTTAAGTTGATTTTAATGAGGAAATTAACTTGAAAAATCTTCCCTAAACTGGTATATACGAGAGCAGTGCCTGGTACATAGTATACACTCAGTCAATATTTAAAGAAATGAATTTATAAAAAAATTAACAAAGTAAAGTTCTTCATGGCTTTCTGAGTTACTTATTTTTATTTTGGTTTTAAAAGATGCACAGTTTGAAAGTGATGAACGAATTACACCCTTGGAATCAGCCCTGATGATTTGGGTGTCAATGGAAAAGGAACATGACAAGCTTCATGAAGAAATACAGAATTTAATTAAAATTCAGGTATGAGTGTTACTTTGTGTTTATTATTAGTATTTTGCTAGAAAATAAAAACAACATCTAAAGAAACTAAGAGCCACTTCATAGAAGTTGGACGGTAAACCTGTAGTAAAATTTAATATAATCATTCTCTTTAGAAATTTGACCTATGATTTATAGTCTTGACATGAGGTCTAAGAGTTGGGACTTAATGTTTTCTACCTAAGTGCATATTGTCCCCACATTGGAAAATATGCCAAATCTATTTAAAGATTACTAAGCAAATTTCAAAAACCAGTGGTTTATGCTCTCCCATTTAAAGATTACCTTTTATTTATTTATTTTTTTAAATATTTTTTTTGGCCACACCGCATGGCATGTGGGATCTTAGTTCCCTGACCAGGGATTGAACCCGCTCCCCCTGCAGTGGACACGTGGAGTCTTAACCACTGGACCACTAGAGAAGTCCCTAAAGATTATCAAATAATAAGAAATGAATGGGTTTTTGTGATTAAGAGAATGTAAAATTTTAACTATGTAGAGAAAATTTTAGTAGGAGTAGCCTATTAAAGAGTGAGAAACCAAAGAAAGTCTTTCAAAGATATAATAGCAGGGAAAATATGTTTTGCTTACAGGCAAAGTATGTACTCAGGAATTTCATAGTTAAATAAACTTTTCCTAGTTTTTAAAAAAATTTTCATGGTTGGGTAGGAGAAAATCCAGGTGGTGTCCCATCTTCTCAGGAATTAATTATTGATGGTGTGGTGACTGTCAATTAGAATTAAGACCTGAAGAGAATTGGCAGAAAAATGACTGCTGCTTTTAAGAATTTCAACCCAGGGCAAAGGGATTTGTCATGTTATCCCAGCCTTTTGGAGTTCTAGGGGAAGCAGGCCTTTGCTAAATATACCAGTAAAGTTGAACGGGTTACCATAAAATACATAGCAAACGTGTAATAATATATTGCTTACTGTTTGCCAGATACTGTTCTAAGTACTTTTATATATAACTCTTTAATCCTCACAACTGCCCTGTGAAATAGGTACTATTATTTTCACCATTTTACATTGGTGTAAAGAAACGGAGACGCCAAGAGGTTAAATAGCTTTCCCAAGTTTACAGACCTACCCAGATGGTAATGGTGGTCCTATATCTTACCACATATGGTATCAAAAAAGGCCAGTTTATAAAATGATTATTCAAAAGCATCTGGCTTCCTGAGTTTCTATTAGAGATTTTCCTGGGGTCCTAAGTAGCAACTTTTATATATCCTAATCATCACAAACACCATCCATCTACCTCTTCTCTCTCTTCCCTTTTGCTCAAAATGACTATTTAGGTGGGTCCTCAATATATATAATGTAGCTCCTGATTTATTTATTAATTCCTTCCTTTAATATCATTTATCAAATCAAAATTATTAAGCTCCATATTTTAAATGAAGTAGTTTAGACTTACCTGAGTTATTTCAGTATTAAACAACAGTTAGATATTTTAAAAAGCAATCTAAGGTTTGTATTTGTCATCCTGTCTTTTAGGCTATAGCTGTTTGCATGGAAAATGGAAATTTTAAGGAAGCAGAAGAAGTCTTTGAAAGAATATTTGGTGACCCAGATTCTTATACGGTAATTATTTAAATTAGAATCAGAAGTTTGGAGCCGTTTTTATGGAATAAGGAAAATTGAAAGAACATTGGAGGAGAAAAGAAATGTTTTCTCTTTTAAACAGTATAGTCCAACAGAAATATAATGCCAGTCCCGTGTGTGATTTTAAATTTTCTAGTAGCCTGGCTTCCCTGGTGGCGCAGTGGTTGAGAGTCCGCCTGCTGATGCAGGGAGCGCGGGTTTGTGCCCCGGTCCGGGAAGATCCCACATGCCGCGGAGCGGCTGGGCCCGTGAGCCAGGGCCGCTGAGCCTGCGCGTCCGGAGCCTGTGCTCCGCAACGGGAGAGGCCACAACAGTGAGAGGCCCGCGTACCGCAAAAAAAAAAAAAAAATTCTAGTAGCCACATTAAAAAAGTAAAAAGAAACAAGTAAAACTAATTTTAGTAACACTTTATTTAACCCAGTATATCCAAAAACATTATTCCTTTTAACAATCAATGTAAAAAGTATTGGTGAGATATTTTGCACTCCCTTTTTTGTACAGTCAGCCCTCTGTATCCTGGGTTCCATATCTGGGGATTCAACCAACTGCAGATTGAAAATACTTAAGGGGTAAAAATTCCAGAAAGTTTCAAAAAGGAAAACTTTAATTTGTCACACACTGGCAAGTATTTACATAGCGTTTACATTGTATTAGGTATTATAAGTAATCTAGATATGATTTAAAGTGCATGTGAGGAAATGTGTAGGTTATATGCAAATACCACACCATTTTATATAAGGGACTTGAGCATCCTTGGATTTTGGTACCCGAGGAGAGTCCTAGAGCCAATCCCATGTGGATACCAAGGTACAACTGTACTAAGTCTTTGAAATCTAGGGTGTATTTTACACTTAACGCTAAATTCAGGGCTTAACGCCTTTCAAGGGCTGAGTAGCCTTGTGTGGCTAGTGGCTACCATATTGAGCAGTGCAGGTGTAGGGGAATGCATTATAACTTGCTTATTTTTCTGGAGGTTTCTTATGTTATCACTAGTTTTTGTGTGTATGTGTAATGTTAAGGTCAATAGAAGTTAATTTTTCAATATTAAAAACAAAGTTATGAGAGCAAATTAAGCTTATTCAAAGAAATGTAGTTTTATACAGTTTTTAGTGAACTCTTTATTGAACAATAGCATACCTTTAGTAGAGTACATATATCATAAGTGTATAAGTAGGCGTATTTTCACAAAAGGAACACACTTGTGTGGTGACCTCCTAGATCAAGAAACAGAACATCACCAGCACCCTCCAGGCACTATCCTTCCCACCTTCTCAAGGGTAACCGCTATCCTGACTTGTAACATCCAAGATTTGTCTTTCTTATTTCTGAACTTTATATAACGGAATCATGTAGCAAGTTTATATTTGTAAGAGAGATACATGGTGTTGCTTATAACAATCGTTTGTTCATTCTCATTGCTCCATTGTAGGAATATACTACAATTTATCCATTCTACTGTGGATGGACATTTGAGTTATTTCCATATTTTGTCCATTACATTCCTTTACATGTCTTTTGTAGAAAAAATATATGTGTTTCTATTGGGTATATACTTAGGAATAGAATTGGTGAGTTGTAGTATATGCACATACTGAGTTTTAGTAGATACTGCCAGAATTTTCCAAAGTAGTTATTATTAATTCCTCCAGTAGCGTGGGAGAGTTCCAGTTGCTTCACAGACCTTATATGTGGTTTTCATTATAGTCATTCTGGCAAATATATAGTGCTATTGCATTGGGTTTTAATTTCTGTTTCTTTGATGATTAATGAAGTTGAGTACCTTTTCACATGGTGGTTTTGGGGAGAGGGAATCACCTTAATTCACTGAAGGACTGAGCCTTTAGTAAGGCTTATTCTATCTCTAATTTGCCCCTGTTCCTACGGTGTAACCCTCCTGAGATTTCAGCTGGAAGCCTGGTATGTTTATTGGGTTCCCTGCCCTTACTTTTTTGCCTTAGTACTGTGAGACTACTGGAAATCCCACTCTGCTTGTACTTCACAGAAGAGGAAACTTTATGGCCAGGAAGCCTAAGAGGGAAAGTGTTAACCTCACTAATGTTCGTAATCAGGTTAATACCAATAATATATTGAAATAGCATTTCCTATACTTCTGATTGGCAATGATTAAAAATGTCTTAGCATACCAACAGTTGGCTCAAAATGTGGAGAAATGATAAAAGTGCCGTACCTTCCTCTCAGAAGGGTAAATTGGTACTTAAGCTTTGGAGAGCATTTTAACAAAATCAGTAAGCATGCATTCCAGCAATTCCACTTCTAGATAAATACCCTAGAGTAACTGTTTTTACTTTCACTTAATACTTTTAAAACCATGAAGCTTTATTTAAAAAATAAAAACTGAAAAAAGAAAACTAGGCCCTACTGTGACAATTTTTCTGGGATAGAGCTTGAGAAGTGGAATTTTTTTTAAAGCTTTATAGCTTTATTGTGCAACCAGCATTGAAAGAACTGTTGTCTAGGAAAAACTTGTACTGTGCCCAAGAAGACATGTAGGAAAATGTTTAATAGCATTGTGATAATAGAAAATAGCCTACATGCTTTCAACAGGCTGGAGGGAAAGGTGAATAAATGGTATGTATTTTTTAAATTTTACTTTTATTTATTTATTTATTTTTGACTGCGTTGGGCCTTCATTGCTGTGTGCGGGCTCTCTCCAGTTGCGGCGATGGGAGGGCCACTCTTTGTCACGGTGGGCAGGCTTCTCACTGCGGTGGCTTCTTCTGTTGTGGATCACGGGCTCTAGGCGTGTGGGCTTCAGTAGTTGTGGCACATGGGCTCAGTCGTTGTGGCTCGTGGGCTCTAGAGCGCAGGCTCAGTAGATGTGGCGCACGGGCTTAGTTGCTCTGCGGCACGTGGGATCTTCCCGGACCAGGGTTTGAACCCGTGTCCCCTGGACTGGCAGGCAGATTCTTAACCACTGTGCCACGAGGGAAGCCCCTAAATGGTTTTTTTGGTTTTGGTTTTGGTTTTGGTTTTTTTGCGGTACAGGGGCCTCTCACCCTGTGGCCTCTCCCGTTGCGGAGCACAGGCTCCAGTCGCACAGGCTCAGCGGCCATGGCTTACGGGCCCAGCCGCTCCGCGGCATGCGGGATCTACCCGGACCGGGACACAAACCTGTGTCCCCTGCATCGGCAGGCGAACTCTCAACCGCTGAGCCACCAGGGAAGCCCGAAACTTTCTATATTTCGCTCAACTCTATGACATCCATGTTGATTTGATATTTAGAGAACTACTAGTTACTTTCACTGTTGTACAGTATTCCATTGATCAAAAATACCATTTAGGGCTTTTATCAAAAATACCATTTAAGGCTTTACACCATTGGTATAAAGTTAAAACCATGCTAAACAATGCTATATATATTGTTTATGGATGCATACATATGTAGTGCAAGTGTAAAGGAATGCATGGATGTGCTAAAGTTCTAAATTCAGGATATTGGTTACCTTGAGAAGAGGAAGGCCAGGGTCGGGGAAGGGTTCCATCAGATTATAGTAGTAAATAAGGCTTCTATTATACAGATAAGGATTTATTTCTTAAACTTGGTAATGGATATTTAGGTTCATAAGGTTTTTTAATCCTTTTGCATATGTGTAAAATATTAAATTTTTTTGTAAGTCAAAAAATATATTGATGGGCATTTAAAACGGGAGCATTTTTAAAACCTCTTGAGTTTTTGTTTATAAAGTGATTTTTTTCAGTTAAATAATATGACAAAATTTCTAGTATTTGTGCTTTATGTGCTAGTAAGTTTCTTCTGTTTTCTTTAGCCTTTAAAAAGGAAATTGCTTATGATAATCTCTCAGAAAGATACATTCCATTCCTTTTTTCAACACTTCAGCTACAACCACATGATGGAGAAAATTAAGAGTTATGTGAATTATGTGCTAAATGAAAAATCGTCAACCTTTCTAATGAAGGTATGCATATTTCAGAGAGATTGTAAACAGACTTAAGAGTAATTGTTACAATAAAGGAGAATACTTGAAATAGAAATTCTTCAAAACTAATCAGATTTTTATTTAGTGATTTTGTAGAAGGATGTGGTGAAATGTTATAATTAGTGGATCTAAAGGGTTTATTGGTGATCTTTGTAGTATTTTTACAACTTTTCAAAGTAAAAGTTGGGGAAATTTTTCAAAATAGAAAGTTGAGGGGGAAACTTATCAAAACAAATTAAGAAATAAGGGAAAAATAGTTTAATTAAATTTAAATGAAATTTTTAGCATATTTTTGGGGAAAGTCAGATTGGACTGAAGAAGGGTCATTAAAATTTTTCTTTTTACATTTTATCCTGTCTTAGCCTCCAAAAGTTTTAACTTAATATGTTAGATGAGAGCATTGATTAATTTGAGATAGTTTTATTTTAAAATACATAGAATCTTTAAAAAAATGTTTTTAAAGTAACCTTTTATCTTAACACTGACTAGAGAGCATTGTCTGTATCAAGTACCTTTGCAAGGAAAGCCCTTCTCCATAATGCTTATAAACCAAGCAGGTTGCTGATGGTGATATCATAGTTACTGAGGAAAATAACAATGCACTGCCCTTTATTGACCTGTGACAAGACACTTGGGTTATGACTGTCAAAGAACAAGAAGGCTTAATTAAATGTTACTTGTTTGAAATGACTTAATGCATCCCTTCGTCTCCTGCAACCCCCTTTTTAAGGCAGCAGCAAAAGTAGTGGAAAGTAAAAGAGCAAGAACAACAGCTTCTCAAGATAAACCTAATAGTAATGATATTGAATTGGAAACTGAAGCTAATTTGGATATAGGAGAAAGGTTTGTAAATTCATTAGTATATTTTTTGTCTTATGAATGTAATATCTATGTAAAAGTGATGCTAGCGAACCATTGTTAATAAAAATGATTATCGAGTAGTAGGTATATTGCGTTACTGATGGCTAACATTTGGATGTTTGGGAGTGCTGTAGAGTTAGGGCTTACGCATATTCTGTTATATGTGCTAAGCAAAAGTAGAGAGAAAACAGCACTGTGTAGCTAGTGTGAGTGACATCATTTATCATTCTCAGGGAACATGAACTCTAGAACAGTGTTGAGGTTGAAAGCCTGAGTCATCTGTGCCCCTTAGTTCTCAAATCCTACATGCCCTCATGTGACTGTCATACTGAGGGTTATTCTAGTATGTTAAAATATTGTTCATCTTCTCTAAGGGTAGGCTAACTGCTTCATCTGGTGCGCAAGTGCAGAAACAGTGATTTGCTCCAGTGCGGGAGGGAAACAAGCCTGTGTCAGTCCTACAAGTTGAGAGACGAGTTCAGTTTCTAAAATTATTTCTTCTTTAGGGATTTTCAAGGGTAACTTTTACAGAATTGGCTTTTACCTTTTGCTTTAGAAACTAACCCTACTGAAGAAGATAAGCTCTACCATTATAATGATCTTTTCTATTGAACCTATGGTCCATTCCTCCCCTTCATCCACCCTTAAACCAAGGCCAAATGGTCAGATCCTTCTGGTCTCTGGATGGATGTATTTGGCAGTGGATGTAATATTACTCTTTTCTTGGGACCATGACGTAAGCGCTGTAAGTCCCCATCTTAACTACTTATTGAGAGGTGGGGATTGGAGTCTGAGTTGGATGGACATGGCATTGGTCACACTTCAGGACTGAGCTCAGTCTTATAGTTCTTTTTGTCCCTGCCTATCAGCGCATGATCTGTTCCTCACTGCTTCATCTCCCCAAGGGCTCTATTGCAGTCTTATTGCTCATTGGGTTTTTCCTAAGACCCATTTTGAGAAGTAGGGATTTCCTTTTTATTGGCTCAGTTATTTCATTTTGTTTAGGAAATCAAAGTTTAGTAGTACCAAGACCCAATGCGTTCTATGGCCCAGCCTTCCTGCCTACTGTAATACTGCTTTAAAGTAAAATAAGATTAGAACTTACCGTGAATCTTGCATGTAATGAGCACGTTTCCTATGTATTCTCCCAGTGTAGTACGACCCACTTATTCCACATGCTTTCCTAGACACAAGCGCAGTTCAGCGTGTAAAGCAGAGCTCTTGACGCTCTCATCTGTCTGCGCTAACCTCCTCTACCTCACACATCCGGCTGCTTATCTCCCCAGGCGTCACGGATTCCATAGCAGAGATGCCTCTAATCCACCCTTACCATTTATATCCTAGATTATTCCTTAGCTTTGTGCCACACAAATCCATTCTTGATGTGACTTCCAGGGTTAGCTTCCCATACAAATAAATCTGTTTAACTCACTTCCCAGCTTAATAACCTCTGTTGGCTTTCCGTTTCCTACTTGATGAATTAGATTTTGCTTTTTTTTTTTTTTTTTTTT